TATAATATTAACTAACGTAACTAACGAGTTACGTACGTACTACTACGTACGACGACCGTACCTAACCTAACCAACTAACCTAACCTACCTATCTCTCTCTCTCTCTCTCTCTCTCTCTCTCTCTCTCTCTCAAATGCACCCACACTCCATAAAGATATGATAGCTCAGAATTGAGTCGTCTGCAATTTGAAGGGCATATATATATGAACTTCCAAATCCATTAAAGTAGTTTGAAATTAGAGAACGGTTAGAACAGACCTAACCTTAAAAGGATCAACTTTCTTGCCAGAAGGTCGTAAATAGACAAAGTCCCTAGACAAAAGGAACGGCCGGTCCTTTCGATTTGGAGGAAGCTCAAAAACCACAAAGGGATTCTTCTTTTTCAATGAATTCTCCATGTATTTATTCTCATGCTTGGCTTCGGTGGGAGAGTCTGGTTCTTCATATAATTTCACAATGACTTCTTCTAAGACAAAGTCGCTCCAAGTCTGATGTCAAAACAAAATCAATTTGCATATAAATTGAGGTATCAAGAATAAAAAGACCAAAATCAATGCGAATATGCGTTGGGCTTTTGGCAAAAAAGACTAAAAAAGAAATATAGATGATAAGAAAAGAAAATCTTCCCATGCATAGATTTCATAAAATGGAAACGCAAAATAAGGTGTCAAGTGGTACTGTGATAAATAAACAGGGCTTAGGATCGAAATCAAACCTCACAAATGGAAGATTACAAAATCTAGCTCCCTTTTTGTGTACGATATGTAAGCTGATGTTAGTGACATTCATTTCATCTGAAATAGACTCCACTACTGGACCCAAATCCCTTATGTAAATTTATTGGACAGACTTCAATGCATGTCATTGAGGTTCAGTTCACTACTAGACATAAATTGCTCATTTTGAACCATCAAAATCTCAAACTACAGTTACTTCTTGACTGATAATATCACCAAAATTCAACAGTACTGTTTAAAAATCAGGCTTTCGATTGAAAATCAGATAATTGCATTCGATATTGGGTTGTGTAATTGCATTCGATAGTGGGTTGTGCTTATATAAGTTCCGAACAGAAGGCCATATAAATCAGGTATATCTCATCTTAAAGCCACAGAAATCAGATATATATCTCAACTCAAAATGGGAATACAGGAAGAAAATTTCTCTTACCTCAAGATATATATCCTCTGCATACAACAAGGCAGCGAAATATTCAGAATAATTCATGGCAGATAAAGGCTTCTCTAGGACTTCAGGGACCTCTTCTTTTTCAATCAAAACCCTAACTTCCTTTGGTATGCCATAGACTAGAAGCTTTTCTTGCTTGTTTGGATATTTCTTAGAAAAGAGTCCTGATGATGATGCATCATAATCTTGCTTAGGCTCTATCCATTCATTGAGCTGCTTTTTTCTCTCAAAATCAGCCGAAGCTTTCTCAGACTCATATCTTTCTTTGGACTTCTCTACTGTCTTAACTCGCCACTGTATCCTTTTGGTCAATGTCTTAGACTCTGTTCTTTCATTAGACTGCTGGTTTTTCTTGAAATCGCCTGAAACACTTTGTGTATTGCCGTTGATGTTCTCTGTATTTGTCTTAAAACTTGACTCTTTCCTTGCAGTTGATTGCCCAGACTCTGTTCTCTCATTAGAGAGCCTATTTTCCTCAAAATCACCCGAAGCACTCTTTGTAATTGCTTTTGATATTCACTTTATTTGATGAAACTTTCCCATCTTTCCTCTCAGTTGATTTCTTCTCTGCACTTGAATTAACAGAAAGCTTCTCTAAAGATGGCATGGAACCTGAAAAGGTCTCTTTTCCAGTAACTTGAGGACGCTTACCCGGATTATTGTTAATTGAATTCAGAGTTTGATTCAGATCATTTCCTTCAAAATGATGCTCTTTACTCCCCTGGTCAGCTGAAAGCCTTTGCAAAGAGGCTCGATTCCAATCACCTCCTTGGAAATACAGTTTCTTAGCCTCTGAATCAACTGAGAACTCCTTTGAAGAAAGTATAAGAGCAAGAGAGCTCTCTTTTCCATTAATGGAAAGATTATTCTGAGAATCACTGAAACTTGAATCTTGATTCAACTCTTTTATATCATCAAATGGCTTCTCAGTCCTTGTAAAAGAATAAGTTTCTGTTACAGAACTCAAAGGCTTGCTTTGCTTAGTATAAGAAATCACTTCTCTTTGAAAGAAGTGAGTCATTGTTTCATTACAGGCTGCAATCCTTTGAGGTGAGGGTAAAGCAGGAGATTGATCAGAAAATACGCTACGAAATGGAAGTTTAACAGTCTCTTCTGTGATTCTTGCCACTGTTCCGCTAACTGAAGTCTGATTTTGAGCAGAATATCCATTAATTCGATCGCAAAGAAAAGGACTGCGATTTTCTTGGTGATCATATAAAGTGCCATGAAATTGAAGCTTATGAGGCTCAGATGCTCTGTATCTCGCCATTGACTCACGGGCCGAAATCTGATTTTGAGCAGAGTTTCCATTAATTGGATCACCGAGGAAAGTATTGCTAATTTGAGTGTCATCTTCCTCCTGATTGCAACAGACAATGCATCGAAGCCCTTCTAGAAACCAGCTACCATGTACACTGGTAGCAACTGGAGAATCTGGACGATAATTGTATACACAAAGATCTGAGTCCTCAGTTGGATCATCCAATTCACAGCAAACTAAGAATCTGAGGAATTTCAGAAGCCACTCCAATGATACTCTCTTCTGTGCATTGGTTGCAACTGGAGAATCCGGACGTAAAGAACTGTACACACAAAAATTTGAGTCCTCAATTGGATCATCCAATTCACATAAAAGTATGCATCTGAGGAATTTCAAAAGCCACTCCATTGATATTTTCTCTCATAGAAATGGACTCAATTTCTCAACTTTCCATGATCAACAAAAAAAATGGTGATTCTTAATTAAGGGAGGAAAATGGAGATTGGGATGACTAGGTTTTGGCCAAATTTTTAGAATAAGATCATTCTCTCTTTGGATTACATGAAGAAATTTTCTTTACCTTTTCACAGTCAAAAAGTAGAAAAGAAAATAACATAGAGTTTCATAATATAGCTGGAAAAATGGAAGTTTCGACCAAAGTTAGAAAACCATTCCATGATTTTGCAGTACATAAGAAGAAAAAGGATCTAATTTCTTACACTTTTTTATTCACAAGATATTCAAAAAAAAAAATCATCGTTCAAGTTAAAAAAAAAAAAAAATAAAATATATATATATATATAAATTCTCTAAAATCTATATTTTATATATTTGCTTGGAGGAAAGGTGACCTGGTCCATAAAAATTGAAAACATATGGGTCCACTATTTAAGTTTGGTTATTTATTTACTTATTTATTATTTATGAACATATATACTGTGCTCCTGTAGGAGCATATTGCCTATATATACTTCCTCGGAAAGAAAGCCTATGTGGGAGGATTTTTTTAATCGAAAATTTATGGGAACTACCTGAGATTCTGAGAATCACCTAATGGATATTTTCGAAAGAGAAAATTGAATTTTAAATTTTCTAAAACTCAAATATCACTCTAAAAAATTCGACAATCTCAGTTCGATTTCCATAAAAGTTTATTTTTTAAGAGTGCATAGGGAGTGTGATTTGATGGTGTTACATCCTCGAAATATGGAATTCTAAAATTGCCTTTACATTGGGTTTTATGCCAGGGAGTAATTAGATAGTATGCTTCAGTGGGAGCATGTAATCTTTAGGTTTTATTTTGAGACCTAGATATTTTTAACTTTGTAATGCCCTTCAAAGTCAAATGAGTAAGAATTTAGTTTCAAGCAGGTCTTTTAGGGAAAAATTGCTGAAACCCCCAGATTTTCTACCGACACCCCACCAACTCCTTCAAAAAAGTTGATGTTTTCTAGCTAATACCTTTATACAAAAAAGTTAATTTTTTTTTACAGAAATACCCTCTCCTCATTTAACAAATCATTTTCAGATCCTAAAACGCCCGACCACATTTGTACAACACCGGACTTCTCATTCCGGTGTACTTCAAGATGCCGGACTATCCGGTATACTTCAAGATGCCGGACTACCCCTACAAAATGTCGGACCGTTATATCAAAAAGCTAGACTGCCCCTTCAAAATACCGGACCGCACGTTCTAGCAAAAAAATAATTGCCAGACTGCCATCATGAAACACCTGACCGCCATCATGAAATGCTAGACCGCAACATGAAACGCTAGACCGCTCATTGCAACAAAAACAAATGACGGACCACCCTCTCCAACAAAAATAATTTGTTAGGTGTGGGAAAGATATTTTCATTCAAAAAAAAATGAACTTTTTGTTTAGGTGTATTAGCGAGAAACATCATGTTTTGGGGGAGTTGCTAGGGAAAGTTGGTGGGATGTAAAGCGGGTAAAAAGACCATCTTGGGGGTTTTAACAATTTTCTCTTTTTTTATCTTAGGGTACGATTTGTATAGAGCCTAGGCTCTAAACAATCAAATTAGAACCTACCTTCAAATAGCGTCAAGAACCGTGGTTTCGATATTGGAAATCTTTGTGATAGCCTGAAAGTTTAAAGTATAAAAAATAGTGCAGATCGAACAGATCTATGAAAACTTAAAAATTTTGAAAATTGACGATTTAAAAATGCATTACAAAATACACTATTTTCAAAACTTAAAATCTATTTTTTTTTCTCATGTTCTTACATCTTGATGTCATCACGATCAATTTGAGGACATTTGGGCATCAAATCAACCTTTTCTAATAAAATTTTAGACATAGGCTTTAATTTGATTGTTTAGAGCCTTGGATCCATATAAACTTTTACGTTCAGTTTAATACGAACCGATCTTGAAAAGACATAACACTTGGAAAAAATTAAATGCCGAGAGTTCAAAATTTTTCTTCCTTTATTATTTTTGCAAGATTTTTCCTTTTAAAAAAAATTAGTGCCAAAAGGCCCCTTAATTAGACTCGGCCGAGTTACTCCGAATCAATGTTATGTACACTGCTTAAAAAATCTAATTCAATAATTTGTCTTATAAGAAATTTATTTGTTAAAATCCACAAAATATTTCTACTATCATAAGATTCAAACTTCAAATTATATTTACGGCGAAAATACCTATTTTCGAGGAAAATGGAAAATTAAATTTTATAATTTGAAAATCTATTTTACTTTGATCCTTTAGGACCTCAGCTTTACACAAACCACACCCAATATGTAATCGAGTGACTTTAATCTATTTTTATTTAAAATCTTAATCTTTCACATAAACATATGAAAAACCTTATTGTTTAAGGCAAGCTTTTTATATTTTTCCTGCAGCATAGAAGTTCTATCCTCCCCCTTATCCAACTGTCCATTTTGAACGGAGACTTAAGATTGTCTCAATCACAATGTCATATCTCTATACTATTTTATTTTTAATTTTTTTCTATAAACTATTTTGACACTAAATTTTGGACATCCATTCCTCTATTAAACTCGCACTAGCAAAAAATATAAAAATAAATATTTTCAAAAAAATAAAATAGCCAAAATACCCTTGAAAGTTTTAAGGGGTATTTTGGTCATTATATTTTATCGAAAAATTATTTTTAATATTTTTTATAATTGTGCCCCAATGACGAGATGGCACGTACCAAATTTCATATTCATACAATTTGCATAAAAAAAAACTAAAAATAAAATAATTTGAGATGTGAAATCTAAGATCGAACGATGAACGACTCTCTTGATCAAAATTAGACGGTTGGATGGTATGAGGAGGATAGAACTTCTATGCTGTAGGGGAAGCATAGAAATATTTCCCTATTATTTATACTTATTTCTTAGTTTTTTATTTTACTTTACGGTATTATTGATTTCTTGGTCCAAATCAAAATCGAATGGTGTGCGTTCACCCCACCAATCCGTATTTTAATTTAACGAAGATGTACCAAACGAAAAAGTAGAAGAAAATGCTAAAACCGAAGAGCATCTAGATTTAAAATCTTCTAAAAAGAAGCCATTTAAAAGCAAACTTTACATAAAATTTAATTTTAGCCTTGCAAAATTTGTAAGGCCTTTGCGCTAAATTTGAGACAAGTCCAAGTTCACCTCTAGTTTCACAGTCCGATTTTGAGAAAACCAACAACCGTAGGGGTGGGAATGGGTCTGTTCCGGTCCGGACCTGGGCATAGACCCAGACCTGACCGTACCCAATCAAATCTAAACCACACCTGAATAGTGTTCGGGTCCAAAATTAGACCCAGACCTAACCCACCGGGTCTCGCTTTTGGACTCATATCCGGATTCGGATTGGGTCTACCCCTCCCGTCCCGGTCCCGGTCCAGGTCCAGGTCCACTGCAACACTGGAAGTTACAAAACCAAACAAATAGAAATTCGCAAACCTTTTTCCCTAAGATAAAATTGGGAATATCGGAGGAGAAAGAAAATGTTACAGCAGTCGAGTGTATCACTCCCTGCACTTCCACCTCTACATTTAGAGAATGAATTGCAGCAGCTAGTGAGAGAATGACATTTTTTTAGGGATCTGCATTCATCTCTAAGGCGTAGGTTTCGCCAAAGAGCCAAACTCCAGCCCCAAGAACTGCTAAATTTATCAGGGAAACAAGATAACTAAGCATAAAACCTTAGATTCCAGGCCCAAAAACTACTAAATTTATTAGGGCCTCGGTAACCTTTATCAAAACCATGATAATAAATCCCAAACCCTAGAAGAACCAAAACCTTTGAAACCCCTAAAAAGCCACTAAACCCTAAAATCCTAAAGCTGGCATTGGTACTTAAAGTGAGAGCAGGGTAGGAGGATTAGGACCTCCACTAGTGAACCCACGAGTAGACTATACACATATTCCCTCTAGTAAGAGAGTGGGAAGATTTTGTATTTTTTTTACTATGAAATTTTGGGACCCAACTTAGAAAATTAGGTACAAATATTTAAAAAAAAAGAAAAGAAACATGGACTTCGTAAACACTTAAAGCTGACTCTAAAAAAATATATTTACGCAGCCTTTTTCAATCTTAGCATATTATTTTTTTGTAGGCACATATTGAGAGTGTCGGGACTTTTTCTTTTTTTTAAGTAGTATTATTATTAGCTGGTGTCCAAGTTGAAGAAGTTAAATTCCAAAGTTTTGGATTTCACCCTGAAGGAGTGAATGGACAATTTGCTCCTTTGTTGGAGCACATAATCTTTGGCATACTTGTTCTTAGTGTTAAGTGTCAACAATTGGTAGTTCTACCCAGAACCGCCCGATTTGAACTAGAACCATAGGCATCTGGTCTGAATCTCTCCTGAAAAAAAGGGATTCGGACCTGTGTATAAACAACATTAAAAATAGTTGTATTTTATCAAAACTTATGTTTTTGGGGGGACTTGAAGCTCCCAAACTTTGTTTTAAGATTTTAAACTCTTCAAATTCTGTTTACATTTCCCTTCTGCTTTTAAAAAATAATAATAATTTGGCAAGTTCAACTTAAACTTGTAGGCGACCGATTCACCCCACTGGATTGTTTTTCTAAAGAAAAAAGGACCATACAAATTGTTGTTGGATGTTTTTTAGGTTTTATTTTGAAGTGAAAGTATTAGATGAGGCCATTAACTTTTTATGAACGAGGTCATACTCACACGTACATCAAATGTGAAATTATGTGTCATTGATTACGTATAATGCTCAATAACTTTTTCACAAACTTTGTGAATTATTAGTAGTATCCAAATTTCAAATCTAATAGCTAAAAATGATTGTGACCTTCTTGTGCCAAAAATAAATGGCCTCTTAATATACATTCAAATGACTTGTTCCAAGAAGCAATCCAAATTACACCATTTGTTGCTTATACGGCATTTGATGATTTGTATTAGCAATACTTGATCCTTAAATACCATCGATGACTTTTTTAGTGCAGGTACTAAGATTAATTGCTCCATGTTGCTTAGATGTCTTAATTATGCTAAAGGTGACCCTTCAAGAAAATGAACCAACAAAATTGTCTCATCTCATGTGCTAATATTTTTCTCGAGATGGCCTATTTAAATAACGACGAGCTTTTTATCTGCCTCCACACACATATAATTTAGATGTCTGAAGACATCTAGCAGTTTGATCTTAATCATACGACCATGAGTGAGCTGACAACAATATCAGGCATTAATATCTGACAAATATAACTTTTTCCAGCTTGCAGCATTATCCTCATCTCAATCTCAGTTGTCTAATCAAAATAAAAAACATGTGGGTCTCGAGATACTCATACATTACATATATGTGGAGATGCATACAAAGGTTTCTCTTCAAGTAAAAGAGCGCACTAGCAATTTCTTTTGTTCTTAGTCCAAACAATAACAACACAGAATCACATTAACACAACCAACATCCTCCTCATTTCCTCATCCATAAGACTTTGATCTAAGACTTAACATCCCTTGTTCTGTGCTTTCGATTACCCCGCTTTGCCTGATGCCTGGCTCGCTTAGGATGCCTCTCAGGCCCAAAAGACCTCCTCTTCTTCTTTGCCCTCTTTCCTGCGTCTAACCATGTATCTGATGAGCTCTCACACTCACTGCACTCATCATGGTCTTGAAACCGCCGCCTCCTATTTATGCGTTTCGTGTTCTTTAACTTGTACCATAGAAAACCACAAATGTCTCTGATTGCAAAGAAGTATGTCCCACAAAATGCGCGTGCCATTTTGCCCAAGCTCCTTGCAAGAAAGCCGAAGACCCCCAGTCTACAGAGCAAGATCAGGAACTGGAAAACTGAATAAAAACCAAAAAAAGGAAAAAAAAAAAAATACAAAAAATGTCAGTAGATTGTTTAGAAAAACGATGAGGCTGAAAATGTCTGAAGACCAAAGAAGACCAAAATGTCAAGAAATATCAAACATCCAAATGGAAAAAGGATTGTCAAAATGTAATGATTGATATGCCTCAGTCCATGAATTCTAAATCCAAGTCCCTGCTTAATAACTACTAACATAGACATAAATTAGAAGATACTTGTAAGAATAAAGCACCATTAACTTAGAGATAAGGCTCCTTCAGTCCTGCTCTCAAGCTACAATTGGTGCGTGCTAGGGTCCCAAGCCCATGTGAGCTTTGACAGATGGGTGAGTTTGTCAGAGACATGGTTGAGTCCAAACAAAAACGATATTGAAACATCGGGAAACGGTCAGACTCGCTGGTTCCTAGTGGACTCGCCGGAGTTTTCCAACACTGTCTCATAGTGTAACTAAATGTTACTTATAGGGCAATGATTGCATGCAGGGCAATGATTTAAGTTATTATTATGGATGACAGAATACAAACATGCATAGACAATCATGAACCAAGAGAGTGCTTACGGAAGTAGATGAGAAGAATCACCAATGCCATCTTCACAAGACTGGAGATGCAAAAATGCCTGATGAAGCAAATAATGTCCCATGTTCCTTGACAGGTAAGTCTGCACAATCCAATGGTTCAAAGAGTCACCACCTTAATCCTTAAACCTCACCATTTATCAATCTACATGAATCAATTATGACAATGAAAACTACCGTTCATTTGAGACAACAATGAAAGGAAATCAAGAAAATTAGAGACTACACAAATGTCAATTCATGAAACTGATACTATCTTTAAAGCTGCAAATGGCTCAGGTCTAGGGCAACCCTACTTGGTAGGGTGTGGGCTTGACCTGGGCCATGCTGGGTCTAGGTCTGTTGGACCAGGACCCGAGCCACCTGCAGGTAAGGAGCTCGGACCCAACCGCGCCTAGTTGTGCTGGAACTGGATATGACCCACAAAGTCCAGGGCTATGATACCAGGGCAGGGTCGACCTGACCCATTTAGTAGCCCTAATTGTCTTGAAATGAATGGTTATTAAATGGTATCTTGATAAGTCACGAATCAGAACACCATAAGCATGTTAGGAAAACAATGGATTCTTACTCGCACGATGTGCCCAACGCGATGTCTAGAGGTTTCAAAACGGCACTTCCAACACCGACACCGATGCCATTAAGAACGTTACCCATCGGTCATGACCAGTAATACTACATGTCACATATATCCTACTTGGAGATTGCATATACATCAGTTTTGCTGCAGTAATTAATGGAAAATATAGACATCAGTCATACTCAGGAAAAAAAAAAAACAATATATATATATATATATAGCCTGGTCAAGAAAGTATTTGACATGCTTTTGAAATAAAACTAATCCAATGTGACACTAGAAATTCTGTTCAAAACGGCTGGAGGATGATCTGCAACTATATGAAAAAGAAAAAACTGATGGCTAAATTTATGGCAAATAGACTTTCTTTTCTTCTTCCTTTCTTGAATATTCAGACCATTTGCTACCTCCAGTTCCGCAAGAAAACGTGATGACTTCTTGCAAAGACAGTAGCTAAAATTTCCTAGTACTTGATCGTTTCAAAACCACTAAGGTTCATATTTTTTTAATGGCTAAATTTATGGCAAATAGACTGTCTTTTCTTCTTCCTTTCTTGAATATTCAGACCATTTGCTACCTCAAATTCCTCAAGAAAACATGATGACTTCTTGCAAACACAGTAGCTAAAATTTCCTAGTACTTGATCTTTTCAAAACCACTAAGGTTCATATTCTGTTAAGATCATTAGTTAAAAAGTTGCCGGCAACTCATGAAGATCTAGGTTCCCTAGTGGCCTTTTCTAAGAAACTCAGCCTTTTCCAGCCTCCAGCTCAGTCCTTTCACTGACTCGGGCTAGGGACCCAAGTGAGTCGGAGACCGAATCAGCATTTTCAAATATTGGTTAAGATCAAATGTGAAAAATTAAACCCACAAACTTAATCAAATCGACGGACTTTCCTTCATAATCCTTTACTCTTGATTCCTAAACCCTAAGACAACATACACATGCATTTCACAGACCACCCTTCCTGCATCCAATGCATCGCCTCCAACCTTAGGGCTCTTTAATTTGCATAAGATTTTAGATGACAGGAAACTAGATATTCTAACCTTCTAAATACTATAATCTCTTGCCTCCCAATTCAGTCAAGGACTTGATGATATACATTGAAGGAAAAGAAAGAAAATTAATCTGGAAAATAAGGTATTGAGAATACCTAAATTTACATTATCATGCAATTTAACTGATTCAGATAGGTTTGTAAGTAGTGTTTTTCTGTCATACAAATATGATCCCTCTTGAGAGAGAGAGAGAGAGAGTTACCCATTTCTTTAAAGTGCAGAAATAAGGGGAAAACACCATGAAACCATAGGGAAGACACCATGAAACCATAGTAAACAAAACACAAAAAACCCTGTGATTTCTAGTGATGTATGGTACTTTAGGAAAGTCCCAAAAGGACTTCCAGAATGGTTAATTTCAGGATTTTTCAGGCAATTTTGTGAATTTTCAATCACTGGAAAGTATGTGATTCAAGCAAAAAAATCATTAAAAAAAAACAACTAACCTTAGCCTTCACTTTTCTCTCTTCTTTTAAAACTTCATAAACCCAAAAAATCTGAAATATAATGCAGGACTTTAAAAAATATCCTTGTTTTTCTTTTAAGAATAAAAAGGAGAAAAGAAAAAGGAAATTCAAGAATGGAAGTGAAAATGGTTGCTGATTTCTTTATTCACTGTCCTCGAAGACTGGAAATCTCAAGGAGACGAAGAACTGAACGGTTATATAACCAATTTTAAACGTACCTTTAAGGCTTAAGAAAACAAGAGGGAAAATGACACATCAATCATCCTGTAAAAAGGGAAAGGACACATCAGTCCTGCGATGCTTTCATAGGACAAGATAAAAAAGACCCATTAGGTGCTTAAGAAAAGTCTCTTTTATTTTTTTAGAGAAATTTACATATGTCCTTCCCAATTTTCCTTATTTACAACGGTCTTTAGGAGTTAAGCTTGGGTCAAGATAGTAGCAGTTGGGTTTTATAGCATTATTTTTCAAGTTCCATTCCTATGTAACCCTATCCAAAGCATATTTACATTTTTTTTTCTTCTAGTTTTTACTAGAAGAGGCAGTTTTGAGCCCACCTCAAAAAAATTCATCAAATTTATCATCTTCTAGTTTTTATTAGAAGACGCAGTTTTGAGCCCACCTCAAAAAAAATTCCCTAGGAGTTTTTGATGACCAATATCCTCAAATTGATCATCTTGACATTAAGATATATGGACATGAGAGAAAAATAGATTTCAAGTTTTGAAAATAGTGCATCTTGTAACGCATTTTTTGATAGTGACTCGGTTTCTATGTGGCCAAGCCTGCATATGTAGAAATGTGGGCATATTAATAAATCTACTTTTAAGATGGATTTAAAAACTTAATTATTAAAGACATGTAATATCTGACATGTAGATCATGAATAAATAAATTTTACAACTATAAATAATAATTATAGTAATAAAACATTTGGACCGTTAGTTTCCATAGCTTTTAGATGGAACACCTACTTACATTGATCTTTAAAATGGATTTTTTACATTTTTTAGATCGGTAGGAATGCGGTCCAGCGGTATGAAACAAATTTTTTTTTTATAGTCAATTTTCAAGATTTTCAAGTTTTTATAGATCTGCTCGATCTACACTATTGTTTAAACTTTAAATTTTATAATTAAAAATGAAAATAAATTTTAAGGCTATCGCAAAGATTTATAGTATTGAAACCATATTTTTCGACACTATTTGACAGTGTGTTTTATTTTGATTGTTTAGAGTCTCGCCTCTATAAAAACCGCGCCCTTGTTAAAATACTCATGAGAGTTGTACTATTTATCATTTTAGCGCATTTGCAACTATTTCAACTCATAATCATGTATGTTTTTAAGAGTATTTTAAAGTCAAATCAAACATTATGTATAAAATTATCAATAGTATATATCCATTATTTTGATAAGGAAGAAGTTTATATGAGGTTGCAATCTTAAAATGTAGAAATACAGATGCACCTCAAAAATCTATTGGAAATGTTGTTTTAATGTTGAAAACCCCTTTAATTGATCATCTTAACATAGAGATGTATGGATATGAAAAACAAAAGATTTTGAATCTCAAAAATAGTGCATCTTGCAATACATTATCTAAACGGTCCATTTTCAAGATTTCTATATGTTTATGGATCTACTTGAGTTTAACTATTTTTAAAGTTTAAAATTTTGTAATTAAATATAAAAATAGATTTTCAAGTAATCTTAAGAATTTTTTATACCAAAATTGTACATTATGATAAAATTTGAAGGCTTAATTAGAAACCGCACTCTTTTGATAAATTTCCCTCAAAATATCGAAAGGTGTTTTAGTCATCCAAAAAATAATTAGGGGGCAATATTGTAATTTCTCCTGGTTCAAAACCCGCCTCTCAAAACACTAGGACCCGCCGCGTTCTCTCTCCCACCACTTCTCCGAGAATCAATGTCAATGTACACGGCGGCACTCTCTCTCTCTCTCATACCCACTCTCTTTCTCTCTCTAAGATTAGCTTTCTCTCTCTAAATTTGGCATTCTTCATAAATTAGGGCTCCTCCATTAATTATCATCTATCCATTTTTCTCCCCCATAAAGTCTCTCGGAATTAGGGCTTAATGTTTCATTCGACTTTCTTGTTTCGCTCTCTGAATTACTGGGTTTTCTTTTTCGTGAATATCCATTTTTCCCTGTGAAATAAAGCTTGAAATGGCGGTCATGGTGGCCATGAGATCAAGCTGGAGCATTCTCAAATATGCTTTGTATAAGGAGTGGAACCAGGTTTTTCATGGCGGGTTCAGGAGGTTTAGTACGGGGACTGGTGCGACTCCAAAAATTCCGCATACTTCTAAGCGGGTAGCTTTGCGTTTTCTCTCTCTACCTTTCTTTTTCTCTTCTTGTCTTTCTCTCTCCATAGCTTTTCTCGTTCTCTCTGTCTCTCTCTTTGCCTATCTCTTTCCATAACTTTTCTCTTTCTATCTCTCTCTTTAGTTAGATAGTATTCAGACCCACTAATGGCATTGCCTCTCTCTCTCTCTCTCTCTCTCTCTCTCTCGTACATGGTTTCAATTTGTTAGCATTAGTGTACTTTCATTCTTTGAAGTCGCCAATATGTTTATCGGCATTTAGCTTTATGCTGCTAACAATTACTTCTATGAATTTATGAATAGGCAAGCTTTCTATTTGTCTTTGTACTCCTATGATTTATTTCGGAACGGACAGCCATCCGATCTTGATTGGATGACTGCAATGTGGCTTATAACAATGCCACACATCAATTGCAACATGACTAGAGACATTATTGTTGGCTCACTCTTAACCACATGACTGTTGGTTTCTAGAAACATGTAACATGTCTTTTTAGACAAAGATTTCCTTTTATGAATAACATTTGGAATTAAACAATAGTTTTCAGACTAATTCTTTAAATTTCAATCACCTGAGTAAGTTATATGCATGCGAAATGCATTGATGATGTTCATAGTAATCATACACTTATGTAATGGGGTTCGCTAAAGGGGTTGCTTTTCTATTGGACTTAATTATATAATGTTCAATCACCTTATTAAGTTATATGGATACAAAATATATTCCTGGTCATGGTAATAATAGATTCGGTAAAAAGGTTGCTTTTTATCGCAATTCCAAGCCTTTGGACCTCTTTCACTCTTGCCCATTAGTTCCAATCACTAGTGAGCAAGATAACATTGTGCGTCTTATTAGACACCAATTTAATATTCCTAAATCGGTTTTAATGTGGCGTTAAATGTGTGATTTTGTGTATCTTGGCAAACGTTCAAAAAGTATCTGTTCAAAAGTGATTTCAGTTAGTGAAGATGATTGCTTGCTGTCTAGTACTTAATGAATTTGGGGTACCTAGTAGGCATATTGAAAAACTTCAGGCCATAGAGCTTTAGGTACCTTCAATCTGACCGGGATGTATGTGTGTTTGTTTATATGTATATATGTGTGCGTGTATGCATGCGTGTTGGGGTATTGATGTATGTATTTATGTATTTATGCATGTATTCAGACCTATTAGACATTTGAACTTGTGTAACTGTTTTTTTTCAAATTGTATATGATATCTAGTTAGAATTAGCTTGTATTTGTTGTCTGGTTTAATACTCAAAAATGCTTTCTCAATTTTTTTTTTCAGTAATTTTATTTATTGATTTTTCATTTTATGGACTTTTTAATTTCCTTGCTTTTGCATTTGTTTTAAACTTTAGGGGAGAATATTCACAGGAACCATGTTGGGCCTGGTTATAGCTGGTGGGGCATATGTGAGCACAGTGGATGAGGCAACCTTCAGGTAAATCATTTTCAGTTCTCTAAAGCCTGTGATGAATTTATGTTTGGTACCTATTTAGGTAAATATTGTTACATATGTAAAACTCCGGATAAATGCATGTTTGATTACTGGGACTTTAAGTGATTAAGTCATTAAAGATTTAAGGAAGAACAAAATTTTCTATGATGCTTTCACAATATTAGCTCTAAAAGCATTGCTCTCAGTGCTGGACGCACAATGCTTTTACGCAATTTACAGATGGTAATGCGACAAAGTGGTTAGATTTTTTTTCCACTCTTATATTCTAGTGTTGATGTAGTGGCAAGCAATGGAGGTTGGTCCCTACTCCGTACCCTTCAAAAGAAACAAGTGGTTGCTTCTAATATCCCTTACTAGTGTAGCAGGACTTGGCCGAGGCTTAGCTGTGACGATTTCTGGGGGTTACTTGCTAGGCACCAAAAGCCATGTAAAAGATATAAAAACAAATGTCAAAAAAAAGAAAGAAAAAATCAAAGTTTTTTTTTAGATGATTTTGATGGTGTTCTTAAGACCGATTTGGGAACTTTTCTTATCGCATGATCCAATTTTTTACTCTTTCCTTTTTTTAATTTTTCTGAAATATTTGATATATAAATCAAAATTTCAAATAATCAATCTTTATAGGCTATTTTCAACTTCTATAGTCTTCTAATGGTTCATATCACTTATTTTTTGCTATTTTAAATATTTTTAACAAACTTTTTACCCTTTCTTTATTTTTTATCTTTTATTTGGGGTAAGATGGATTCAGGGTAAGCAGGACTGGAGCAAGTCCACTTGGACTAACCCAAATAACTTGCCTTGGCCCAGTGGCGAGTACCTGGCCTGAGGCTATTCAAAACACATTGTTTTTACACATTGCTATAACAATTAACTATTTAAGGGGACTCACAACAGGTACTTATTGGAAGATAAGGTAAATTGAAATATCTAGGGTTGCTTCTATAAGCTCCTTAGTCAACATTTTTGCCCATTAACTATACAGTGGGTTCTGAATATGCCTTGTGTTTGGAATGTCAGAAGAACTGGAGACTTAATTACTGTATTTTTAATTGAATATAGTTGCCAGCTTGCAATAGCTGATATTTGATTCATCTATTTGTTTAGTTTTCCATATACTTTGTTCACTTTTGCTCTTGGCTCCTTGACCTCTTATGGACTGGTGACTAGTGATTATTGGGTTAAGCTTAAACTGACGGGTGAATCTTGCCATGCTTTGTTTCGCGTGGGTTGTAGTGAATTAGGGTGGTTTGCGAAAAGTTCTATGATATGATATAAAATCCCATCAAATGAATGTTTCATCTCTAAATAAGGCATTAGCATATGATTGCCATCATAACAGGTTTAGTACAGGTTGATAAAGATGTGCTAAATCCCAATGAAAGCCTTAACTCGATTCTGTGGATGGTGTCTCCCTTGCATCTCTTTAGACAAGAAACACACTAGCTGAGTGGTCAGAGAAGCCTTGATGTGCATGATATGGCTTCCAAAGCTGTGCAACTTCCACTGTGTTTAACACCTCTATAGAACAGGATACTTCCTAATTTCCGTTAACCTTCACCAGGGTTCATCGTAAGCTTGAAAACAATCTAGCAACATCTTAGAACAAACTGAGGGTCCATGTTGATTCTTTACTACAGTTTGACTGCTTTCCAAATGTTCATATTAAAGACTAGATATTTGTTTCCTGATTGATCTCTTTCACTTGTTCCAAAGTTGTATGCAATGTTTTGTAATTGTTTATTTTTCTATTGGTCATCTCAATCCTTGTGATGCTTCTGTTCACTTCAAAAGTTTTGTTATCATTGGTGCAGTGGGTGGCTTTTTTCTGCTACCAAATTAGTCAACCCTTTCTTTGCCTTACTAGACCCGGAGACTGCACATCGATTAGCAATAGCAGCGGCAGCTCGTGGCCTGGTTCCTCGCGAGAAGAGGCCTGACCCACCAATTCTTGGGGTTGAAGTTTGGGGCCGTAAATTTTCAAATCCAATAGGCCTCGCTGCTGGTTTTGATAAAAATGCAGAAGCGGTTGAGGGTTTGCTTGGGTTGGGATATGGCTTTGTAGAGGTTGGCTCTGTCACCCCTGTTCCTCAGGAGGGTAATCCAAAGCCTCGTGTTTTCAGAATTCCTCAGGAGGGGTAAGCATGTACGTTTTCTTATGTCCTTTTGGACCTATCGTCCTATAGATTGTGAAAAAATGTTGATTCCATCAGGAATATCACGGTTCTGATACTGGTTTCTCAGCTTTTTATTAATATAGGGAGTTACGTCTTTGATGAATCAATTGTATAGAAATTCTTTCTATATATTCACGGTGCAAGTATTGATGATTAGCACACAAACTCATGCATTTCATACACTTCTGGTTGCTTGGTATGATTTACAGTGCTCTCATTAACCGATACGGCTTTAATAGTGAGGGTATAGTAGCTGTTGCAAAACGTTTGGGTGTACAGCATGGAAAAAGGAAGTTGCAGGAAACTTCAACTCCTGCCACTTCTTCGAATGGTGTTAAGCAAGGAGGGAAAGCAGGCCCTGGTATTCTTGGAGTCAATATTGGGAAGAATAAGACAAGTGAAGATGCGGCCGCTGATTATGTTTCAGGAGTTCATACTTTGTCCCAGTTTGCAGATTACTTGGTAATAATTAGCTCTTTTTTTGCAGCACTGATAAGGAAAATAGATCTCTCTGTTATGTATTATCATACCATTATTCTACTAAAATGCTTCAGAAATTATTTTGTGTATGTTGTTACCATCTTGAGATTGTAATCATAATAATAAAGTGTAGTTCACTAACAATGGAGTTCAATGAAAAAAAAATTTATGGTGGAGTTTCATAGCTCACTGGTAAATTACGAGTTTCCCTAATTTTTCCTTTCGAATTTTCTTGCGTAATTCTAGATTTTTTATTACGTTAATTTTATTAGATAGTATTATAGGATGGTATCTAACTTGGAAGGGCTTGTCATTTTTCATTATTATTTTTTGATGGAACCCTGCTTGGACAAGAGCTTCTTGTGCTTTGATCTTTGTTTTTTTCTTCTGTTTAAATATTATAAATTATGCATAAGAATCAAATTTCAAAGAACCTAAAGTTAAGCGTGCCTCGGAAAGATTAATACTAGGATGGGTGACCTCCTGGGAAATCCTTGTGCTGAACCTCTTTATGCATAGGGGCCCGTCATCCCCACTGATTCACCAAAAAAAAAAATATTTAAGCAGCAGTTCAGGCAAAACAGGCACATCAATAATTCAGTGGAGCTTTGCTAGTGTTCATAGTGGCTTAGCATTGGAAAGAATCTTATGTTTGCTTTTCCTTTGTTTTTCCTCTGGCCCATGCAGGTTATAAATGTTTCATCACCAAATACTCCAGGGTTGCGCAAACTCCAGGGAAGGAAACAACTAAAGGATCTTGTAAAGAAGGTCGAAAAATACAGCTACTGATTATAGCTCTTTCTCATGATAAATAGTATCCTTTTATTTTGACTGATGGTATACTTTTTTTTCAATAATATGAAAATATTATAATTAATTAATTATAATATTCATTTTATTTCCAATAAATGAAAGTTTGAAACTACTGTTGTAGGTTCAACTGTGAATATTTATGTGTGGCCTACATTGTTCTTAGTAGCTACTGATGCTATTTTGTGGCTGTCCTTTTGGCAAAAGGTCCAAGCTGCTCGTGATGACATGCAGTGGGGTGAAGATGGTCCTCCTCCTTTGCTAGTAAAAATTGCTCCCGACTTGACTAAAGAAGATCTTGAAGATATTGCAGCGGTATATATTTTGAAAAACATGGGCCTTGGATGACCTTTTTAATTGATCTGAAGTTACATGTGATGCTATCTAATGGTATCTTTTTAATATTTGCAGGTCGCCCTTACTCTTCGCTTGGATGGACTTGTAAGTTTGGCAACTGTTATTTGCTTGTATACTTAACAAGAGAGTCCCTTCTTTGCTTTATTAGCTATGGAATGAATTTCATGATAAGTGTATATATATATATATATATATATATATATATATATATATATA